CACATTGGCTGCAGGGGCCCCAGCACTTGAACCATCTTCTGCGGCTTCCTCAGGCACACAGTGGGGAGCTGGATCAGAAGTGGGGCAGCCAGGACGTGAGCCAGCACCCACAGGGGATGCCGACACTGCAGACGGCGGCCCAACCCACTGCGCCACAGCCAGCTCCCCAGCTCCAATTTCAAACACAAGAAAGTGATAGAAGGCAGAAGTATAAAACAGAAGGAGAATTTCAGTATGTTAGCCCGAGATTTCATATTTTAATTAAAAGTTGCTAACCAGCCACTCGTGAAGAGTCAGCCTTTCCTAACCGAGCTTCTCCGGGTTCTGCGGCTCAGGTTACCTAGGAGGGTCCTCCTTGGCTCTCTGGCACAGACATCCCCCCCTCCCTACTGCGTATTATTTACTGTTTACAATCTTTTTTTTTTTTTTTTTTACAGGCAGAGTGGACAGTGAGAGAGAGAGACAGAGAGAAAGGTCTTCCTTTTGCCGTTGGTTCACCCTCCAATGGCTGCCACAGCTGGTGCACTGAGCTGATCCAAAGCCAGGAGCCAGGTGCTTCTCCTGGTCTCCCATGGGGTACAGGGCCCAAGCACTTGGGCCATCCTCCACTGCACTCCCGGGCCACAGCAGAGAGCTGGCCTGGAAGAAGGGCAACCGGGAAGAATCCGGCGCCCCGGCAGGGACTAGAACCCGGTGTGCTGGCGCCGCAAGGCGGAGGATTAGCCTAGTGAGCCACGGCGCTGGCCAACTATCCATTTCTTAATAGGCCTGTGTGGATTCGTGTTTTTTCATCTTTTTAAATATTTTTTATTTATTGAAAAATCAGAATTACAGAGGCAGAGAGGGCGAGACAGAGAGAGAGAGCGTCCATCTGCTGGTTTGCCCCGCAGATGACTGCAACAGCTATGGCTGGGCGATGCCAAATCCAGGAGCCAGGAACTGCATTCAGGTCTCACACATGGGCGGCAGGGGCCCAAGTTCTGGAGCCATCATTGCTGCCTCCCAGGCACATTAATAAGAAGCTGGATTGGAAGTGGTGGGGGTGGGGGGAGAAAACAAGGAGAAAGGAAGGAAGGAAGGAGGGGAGGGGCAGAGGGAGGGAGGGTAACACACTTGAGCTTCAGGGCTTGGTGAAGGTCTTTCAAGAACGTGTCAGGCTGGTGCTGTGGCACCGTGGTTAAGCCTCCACCTGCCACACCAGCATCCCACGTGGGTGCAGGTTCAAGATCATCTCCTGTATGTGGCTGGGAAAGCAGCAGAAGATATCTCAAGTGCTTGGGCCCCTGCACCCACTGGCCCAGCCACCACCACTGTGGCCATTTGGAGAGTGAACCAGCAAATGGACAATCTCTCTGTCTCTCCTTCTCTAATACTCTGCCTTTCAAATAAATTGAAAAATGAATCTTAGAAAAAAATGTAGCCAGCGCCTATGACTCCAGCATCCCAAACAGGCATGGTTGTGAGCCCTGGCTGTTCCACTTCCAATCCAGCTCCCTGTTAATGTGCCTGGGGCCCTGCACCCACATGGGAGACTCCAAAGAAGCTCCTGGCTCCTGGCTTTGGATTAGCTCAGCTCTGGCCATTGTGGCCATCTGGGGAGTGAACCAGCTGATGGACTATCTCTGTCTCTCTCCCCCACCTCTCTCTGACACACACGCACATACTCTACCTTTCAAATAAATATTTTTTAAAAATGTTAAGAGCATTAGGGGGGAACTGAGGGGCAAAGACACTACTTACATGAAGCTTGAAAAGATGTGAAACAATTCTCTGGAGGGCGTTCATGCTGCGCATGTTAGAAGCAGGCGCCCTGACGGCGCTGCAGCTCACTGGGCTAATCCTCTGCCTACAGCGCCGGCACCCCGGGTTCTAGCCCCGGTTGGGGCACTGGATTCTGTCCTGGTTGCTCCTCTTCCAGGCCAGCTCTCTGGGCCCTGCACCCACATGGGAGACCAGGAGGAAGCACCTGGCTCCTGGCTTTGGATCAGTGCAGTGTGCCAGCCGTAGTGGCCACTTGGGGGGCGAACCAACGGAAAAAGGAAGACCTTTCTCTGTCTCTCTAACTCTATCTGCCGAGGAACACAGGGCACACCCGGTGTGTTCAGGCCCCAATCAACCTCTTTTTTTTTTTTTTTTTTTTGTTTAATGTCTGAAAGTTTTCTTAGTAAGACTTCCTGTCTGCTACATCACTCAGCTTCTCCCTGATGCCAGCCCCGCAGCCACAGTCCGCCCCAGCCAAGTGCAGCACCAGGGTTTGGTTCCCCAGGGCCTATGTGGAGAGAACTTGGCAGAGTTTAACAAACCGCGTCCTTTGCCCTCGAAGCTGGTCTCTTGATTCCCCAGGAAAAGCTCAGCTTCCCACTCCTCCCGGCCCATGCTGCGTCTCCACCAAGCTTCCCGAGCCCCAGACACACCTGCTGAGCTCACTGGGGACCGGACAGTGGCACCACACAGCAGCTGCCCTGGGCCCTCTGTCCTCTCTCCCTACACAGGTTGCCCCACGGCTCCACCAACACAGCCGGTACCCCTGCCCCAACAAGAAATGCCCGGCTCCTAACAACCTCAGCTGCAGGCCACGAAGCCATGGCTGCATCAAACCCAGTGGGCTGCTCAGTGCCTGTCCCCCACCGCCATGCTCACTGCGCACCTAGCCTCACGCAGGTGGAACTGGGACTGAGTCAGGCCTGGCCCCACAGGCCAGCACCTGGAGGCAGGCAGGCAGGGCAGGAGCAGGGCAATCAGCTGAGCTGCTGCTCCCCAGGGCCCGCACATCCGAGTGAGGACTCCGGCACTCCCTCAGCTCCCAGGCCTCCTGCTGCTCCTCTAGCCCCAGCCTCTCGCCTATGCGTTCTTTTTTTTTACCTTTAAAAACTGTGAAATGTCACATCCCTACAGAGAGCGGAAGCACAAGGCAACAAATCACTATAAAGGGACACCTGGGTGGCCAGCCATCAGCCCAAGAGTCAGAACGCCTACCTGGCCCTGCCATTAAACACTTATAAAAATCACGAACCGTTTGGAACATAGAGACAAGCAGAGAGACTAAAATAGTACCCACGAACCTGCGCCGAGCTCTAGCAAAATTTCACGGTGTTCCTTAAGTGCTTCAGGTGTTTTGTAAAATTTGAAAGGCAGAGTGGTAGAGAGAGATCTTCCCAGCCAGGCATTGGGGGAGTGAACCAGCGGGTGGTGTGTTTGTGTGTGTGTGGGGGGGGGTGTTCCTCCCCCCTCCCTCCCTCTCTGCAACTCTGCCTTTCAAATTAAATAAGGAGAAGGCGGAGGAGGAGTGGGATGTGAACACGAGACACGGGGCGGGGCGCAGGTGTCCCAAGTGATGTCTTAGGTCTCCACCCCTGAGCCAAACGCCTCAGGAGATTTTGGAAAAGGTGTTCACAGAGGCCCTCAAGCCCTCTGCACAGGGCTTGCAAGCAGGCCTGTAACTTACCCCACAGGTAGCCCTAGGGCCGGCCGGGAGCTCTCCGCAGCAGGTCACCGCCCTGAGCCCTATGCAGCTGCGCTCCGCCATGCTGCAAGCCTCTGAGAGACAGCCAGGCACCCTCCAAACACCCACCTAATATTTTAAAACTGGGCAAAGTGACATAAAAATCCAGGTTTCTAGGCCGGCGCCGCGGCTCACTAGGCTAATCCTCCGCCTTGTGGTGCCGGCACACCGGGTTCTAGTCCCGGTCGGGGCACCGGATTCTGTCCCGGTTGCCCCTCTTCCAGGCCAGCTCTCTGCTGCGGCCAGGGAGTGCAGTGGAGGATGGCCCAAGTGCTTGAGCCCTGCACCCCATGGGAGACCAGGAGAAGCACCTGGCTCCTGCCATCGGATCAGCGCGGTGCGCCGGCCGCAGCACACCAGCTGTGGCGGCCATTAGAGGGTGAACCAACGGCAAGGGAAGACCTTTCTCTCTCTCTCTCTCTCACTGTCCACTCTGCCTGTTTAAAAAAAAAAAAAAAAAAGGGTGGGCTGGAAATGTTTAAGGAGGCTTCGTGGGTGGCCTCTTTTGAAAACCAGGTGACTCACACAGCCTGGACTTCCTGGAATGACCACTCTCGGTGCTGAGAGCCCTGTGGGCAACTTGCCCGGGCCCCACCATTCCCTGACAAGCGCTGCAGGCCACCACCCCTGCCTGCACTCAGCGTGGAGAGAGAAACCCGTGTCTCCTCCTAGCAAAAGCAAGCAGCTGCACTAGCCTGTTCACTGCGCACCAGCACCGGAGGCGTCTGAGTTTAAGAACCTGGGGTCGGGGGAAGTGCTCTGGCTTCAAAGTGCAGCCCGTTCACAGGCTGTCCTGGCGGAGGGGGGAAGCCAGGCAGGGAAAGGAGTGGGGGGAGGCACCGTGGTCCCAGAGGGGCCGCAGAGTCCTGACTTGCCTGCTGCCTTGGTGGCCTCTGCACGTTCCTGCCTGGCGCAAACCCTCCCCTCCCCACCTGGGGGGCCTCCCAGCTGCCCTCTGCTGGCCCCACCCCTTAGGCCTAAGCACTCATGCCCCACATCCTCCTGGGGGTCTTGCAGACCACCCTGGCCTCCCGCTGCAGACGCTGCTGGTAGAACTGGTCACGTGGGGCTGACAGCTCTTGTAATACAGTGCTTCATCACAGATTAGCATCAGTGCGCATTTCCAGTGCTTCCTGGAAAGTGGGTTGGATGGATGGATGATGGAGACAGTGACTGCTTGGCTCTGACGCCCGGTGCCCTACATACACCACTTCTAGAGAATGTGTGGTAAGAGGCATCTGGCGGGGAGGGCGCTCTGGTGCAGCGGGTCAAGCCACTGCTCGTGAGGCCAGCGTCCCTCACTGGACCACTGATTCTGATCCAGCTGCAGGCTAATACACTTGGGAAAGCAGCAAGAGACGATGAGCCAAGGACTCAGAACTCTGCTACCCACGTGGGAAACCCAGATGGAGTTCCAGGCTCCTGGCTTCGCCTGGACCAGACCTATTTTGGACATTTGGGGAGGGAACCAACAGATGGAAGATCTCTCTCTCTTTTTCTGTAGGTCTGCCTTTCAAATAAGTAAATAAAGCAAGCTTTGGGGTGGGGGGAGAGAGACTCTGGATCCATATGCAGTTTCTGATGTTTGTTGAATGACTAACAGCGAAAGATGGGTTATGAATGAGGATGCCAGTGGAGAACAGGGAGAGGAGGATAGTGCGTGACCGGACACAGGAGGGGGCAGGGCCACGGAGGGAGAGCCCAGCCGGGCACACAGAGCAGGGTGGGGGTCACTCACCACTTTGGGCGTGAAGGGGGGCTCCACCCTCCGCTTCTCCAGCAGGATCCAGTTGATGGTCTTGAAGAAGGGGTGGGCTCTGATGTTTCCTGTCATGCCCAGTCTCCTGGGTGGGTCCCTCTGAAACAGCTGCAACCCAGCAGGCCTCTGGTCAGCACCCAAGGTTAAGGGAAAATGGACCTCCAGCAGGTGCCAAGGTGGCAGCACAGGCCAGGGAACCCTGGGACAGAGGAAGGCCTTTCTGGCCGGCTGCACTCCATGTCCCCTGGGCTTGGACACTGTGGACTCTGCTGGGATGGCTTGTGTCATTTACTGAGTATTCACTATCTAGCTTGCTCAGAACTGAGCACTTCACGTCTGTATTTTCCTCCCAACAACTGTGAGGCAGCTTGTCTCAGTTGAGAGAGGTTAACTGACTCGCCGGGGAGGCTGGCACTGTAGCGTAGTGGGTTAAGCCACCGCCTGCAATGCTGGCATCCCATAGGGGCGTTGGTTTGAGTCCCGGTTGTTCCACTTTTGATCCAGCTCCCTGCTGATGTATCTAGGAAGGCGATGGAAGATGATCCAAGTACTTGGGCCTCTGCCTCCCAAAAGTTCCAGACTCCTGGCTTCAGTGTAGCCCAGCCCCAGCCGTTGAGGCCACTTGAGGAGTGAAGCAGTGGGTAGAAGATCTCTGTTTTCTCCCAATCTCTCTCTCTAAAACTCTGCCTTTCAGATAAATAAATCAATCTTTTAAAAAAAAACAAAGTGACATGCTAACGTCCCCAGCCAGTCACAGGCAGGGCAAGGTTCAGCCTCAGGTCTGCCTGCCCCATGACCTCAGTCACCATGCCAGACTGATTCATGGGTACACAGCGAAAGGGCCATGCCCCTGGCACGATAGGCCTGGAGTGTGAACCAGACCGGAAGTTGCTGCCTTCTCGTAAGCCCAGGGTCCATCAGCTCCTGCCCCCGCCCCGCCCAGGGCCCCACCTTCTCCAGAATGTCCTTGGACTCCTTGGTGATCCAGCGGGGATAATGTGGCGTGTCCACGCGGATGGACTCAAAGAGTTCGTCCTCGTCGTCCCCGTGGAAGGGCGACTGGCCAATGAGCATCTCATAGAGGAGGACCCCGAAGGACCACCAGTCCACAGAGAACGTGTACTTCAGGCCCTGCAGGATCTGGGGCGGGAGCACTGGGTCAGCAGGGGCTGGGGGTGGGCACGGCAGGGGCCTCCCCGCCCAGAGTCGGAGTCCGAGTCTGGCCAGGCCTCATCTTCCTGAACCACTACGCAGGGGCAGGTGTGCGCTCACCTCGGGGGCGATGTAGTCAGGAGTGCCGCAGAAGGTGCTGGCCCGGTTTTCCCCGAACATGTTCTCCTTGCACATCCCGAAGTCAGCGATCTTGATGTGGCCATCCCGGTCCAGCAACACGTTGTCCAGCTTGAGGTCTCTGCAGAGAGTAGGCAGGGAAGTTTCATCAGGGACCAAGTTCTTCCCTCCCAACCCTGCCACCCATGTGCCCGTTTTCAGTCCTGAAGTCTGGGACTCTCTCCAAGAATGCGCGAGAATAAGGAAGAGGACACAGAGGGCCAAAGAGGTACTAAACACAGGTGCTTTGGGGCCAGTGTTGTGGCACAGTGGGTTAAGCTGCCACCTGTGAGGTCGGCATCCCATATGGGTGCCAGTTCAAGTCCTGGCTGATCCACTTCCAATCCAGCTTTCTGCTATGGCCTAGGAAAGCAGTGCAAGACGGTCCAAGAGCTTGGGCCCCTGCCACTCATGCGGGAGACCTGGATGGAGTTCCAGGCTGCTGGCTTTGGCCTGGCCCAGCCCCAGCCGTGGAGGCCCCTGGGGGAGTGAAGCAGCAAATGGAAGCATGTGCACACACACATGCATTCTCTCCCTAACTCTGCCTCTCGAAATAAATCAGTCGATCAATCTTCAAAAAGAAAAGTGCTATGTGTGAAAAGCCACCTATGTGGGAAATGCTAGACACACAATATCTTCCTTCCGGAAGCCCAAAATGAGGCTCAGAGAGGTGATGTCACTGTCCAGAGCCATGCAGCTGATCAGCAGGGAATGTGTCTGACCCTCAGCGGCGGCCTCTGTCTGTACAGTTCATCACTGGAGTGGGTGATTCGTGCACATGGGGACACGAACTAGAAACAGGTGGATGGTGTGAAGCTCGCCTGGGAGCCGGGGCACAGATGAGCACCGTGCAGCACAGCTCCACCGTTTGAGACCCGAGCGAACGTGTCACCAGGGTTGGCTCTCCACTCGACTACATATCAGGGCGTCATCCCATACCAGGACACAGAGCGTGGCCCCAGCCTTTTTGGTACAGTATTCCACCACAGCACGGGCCTGCAATCTATCGGGTGAGACTTGTGGAACCAGTCCCTTCTGGTGGAAGCTGAGCCTGCTCACATGGGGCTTCAGAGCGAGACGAGGGCCCAAGGAAGGGAGGCAGCGCGGCCACCATCGCACCAGTGGTGCATGGGCAATTTCCGGTTCCCAGGGCAGGGCCAGCCTCAGCTGAGGGGCTACAAGGAATGCTAGCACTGCAACTGGAGGTTTAGAAAATACCCAGGGGAACTCGGACTCTAAGCACACTGGAGCTGCGGCCAGGCTGGACCCTACCCCTGGCATTTCAGAGAATATGACAGGGTCAGTGCCTCCTCTGCCAAGGGTGCCCCACAGCCCGAGCCCTGCACCTGTAAATGATCCCTTTGTTGTGTAGAAACTGCAGTCCACAGATGATCTCCGCTGCGTAAAACCTGGGTAAGAGAGAGTGACAGAGTGTTCTGCTGGCTTCTCCCAGGCCTCACCCCACCTCAGGGCAGGAATGCTGCCAGCAGCTCTGGGGCAGACCCAGGCAGAACTCCACGGAGGGAGCCACTTCCCTGCCCTGGGAGCATGTGACTCACACACACACACACAGGTGTGCGTATACATGGCTGGTTTGGGGGGCGGCACACATACGGGGAAGGTCACAGTGCAAGTCTGGGGCTCCCAAAGTTCACAGCACACACAGCCCAGGCAATCCCACACCAACCCCAGCTCAGGCCCCCCTGGCTTTGTCAGGGAGCAGAAAGAAGGCCCCGGGTAGAGTGGGGGCAGGCTCTGAGCCAGGGTCCCCCATCCCCACAGGGCCCTGGCGTACGTGGCCCGGTACAGCTCGAAGCGGCCTTTGTCCTGGATGTGGTACATCAAGTCTCCCCCGTTGAGGAACTCCATCACGAAGAACAGGTGTTCCTGTGGTGTCGGGGTGGTGGTGGTGAGCAGAGGTAGAGTGGGCCAGATCCCACCCTGGCCTTGGAGGGGGAGGCTGTGGGGAGCCCAGGGAACCTTGGTCTGGAAGGTGCATAAAAGCTGAGCCAGGAAGGGGTTCTCGGAGGCGAGCGCCAGCACCCGCTTCTCCACCATGGTGCACTCCACGTCATCGTCCACCAGAACCACGTCCTTCTTGAGGACCTTGACGGCAAAGAACTTCCCTTTGCCCTTCAGCTCTGCGAGCATGACCTGGTAGTGGGCAGAGACACTGGGTAGGGCAGGACGGGCAAAGGCCACAGCTGCCCGGGGCGAGGGAGGGAGTGAGCAGTGCCCCAGAGCGGACGGCCCCTCACCTTCCCGAAGCTGCCCTTGCCCAGGACTTTGTGGAAGGTGAAGTTGTCGATGTGGCACGTGCTGCTGCCCTCCCAGATCTTGCCGTAAGTCCCGTTGTTGTCTGGCCGAGAGAGAGGGGGCCTCAGACTCGTGTCTTGGCTGGCATTGCTTGGCTTCCTCCCTGGGGCCCAGGTTTGGGCTGAGGGAAGGGGCCTCGCTCCCCAGGGACTCACTCGGCAATGGGAGAGAGGATGGGTCTCTCTCTTTGAGAGAAGGGGCCTCGCTCCCCACAGGAAGCGCCTCCTTCTGCGACCCACTCGGCAGTGAGAGAGAGGACGGATCCCTCTCCTTGACAGAAGGGGCCTCTCTCCCCTCGGGAAGCGGCTCCTTCCACAACTCAATGGCCAGCTGGAGCGAGGACAGGCCCCCGAGGGAAGGAAGAGAATGAACATGGGAAGTGGACCCAGCTTCACCTGGGGCATCGTCCCCAGAGACGCCTTTCTTCTCGTAACCCTGGTAGATCCCCACAGGCTCTGTGGACACCGAGTCCTGCCTCCGCGTCGACTTCTGGGGAGGGCAGGGTGCAGTTCAGTCCCCGTGGTCAGGACACCCGGCCCCAGCTCTAACTCCACCCTCAGCATCCCTGGCCTGGACCCCATGCTGCTGTTCTCTCTCCCCCTCCCCCGCCCTGCAGGACAGTGGGGCTTCCTGTCTGGAAGGCGTTGATGACAAACCCAAGTTCTAGAACTCGAAGCCACCTTCCCAACCACTTAATAAACTTCACTTCTGATTTACCCTGGAATTCAGTTTTATGGCACCCGTCAAGCCCCACCTACATTCAAACACACGTGTGCACACATACACCCATGTGTGCACACACCCAGACACATATGTGCAAGCACACACTCATCCAAGCGTACACACATGTGTGCCCTGCCCATGGGGAGTGAGGCACACATACACATGTGCACACCCACCCACACATGCATGCACACACTCACCCAAGCATACACACACATGGGCACACACACACTCTTAGTTCAAAGTGTCCCAACACTCAGATCAAGTCACTGAAATAACTAATTTCCAGTGAAAACAAGCCCATCTCCTAAATTCTTAGATTAGCTTCTTCAGAAGTTGGGTGGTGGGCAAAATGCCCTGGGGGCTTTCCAGGAGAGGCAATGAACCCCAGCTGCCCTCTGACTCCACTGCCCTGTCCCCAGGGTCCCACAGTGCCTGCCTACCTGGCTGACTTGGTTCAAGGCCTCGGCCAAGAGCTTCTGGTTGATGCCGCAGAGGTTGGCCACCTTTTCCCGGCACTTGTGGTGCACGTTCATGCCACAGTCTGGGGTGAGGGAGAAAGGGTTGGGCCACAGGCGGGAGTAGGAGGGAGGTGGAGATGGCAGGAGAAAGGAGGGCTTGGGGGAAGGTGGGGAGGGGGAGTTCGCTGGGTTTTCCCTTCCTTCAGGGAAAAATGTGTTCGAAGTCATCACAAGTATTTTGAATCTTCCACGATTTAAAGAAAAAGCAGAAGATTCGGGGACAACTTAGATAAGCTGCTCACAGGGGGTCTGCGAGGGGCATATGCCAAGGTCCTGCTGGTGTGCAGCAGGCCCCAATTAGGCACCTTCTGTTTACTTGCCCCTCACAGGGATTCTCCAAGTCCTACTTTCCCCCCACCCCACCCTCAATCGACACTTGAGAACACGGCTCAGAGTGCAGCCTCTGGTGGTGGGTACTCAGCGGGTGAACGGCAGCAGGGGCCACTGCGATCCGTGCACGGGGCAGCTGCAGCTCACGCACCTTCACACTTCATGCCCTGCTTCACCAGCCCCCAGAGCAGGCTGCCGCAGTGGTCACAGAAGGTGGGGCTCATGTAGTTGTGAACCTTGAATCGGTGCGGCATGTCGATGTTGAAGCGTTCTTTCTGGAACTCGGGGGAGGTGGGGAAGAGTATCACTGGGCAAGGTCATGCCCAGTCCCCCTCCTAGCTCTCTAGCCTCCCCCCCCCAGCCCAGGCAGGGCCAGATGCCAGAGAGGGTGCCACTGGGAACTGGAGGTGGAGAGGAAGGGGTGGGGAGAGCCCAGAGCCCCCCACCTGGCCAGCCCCAAGCCCCCCGGCCGCACCCCAGACCCAGCTCACTATGGTGTCCCGGCTGTTGGCCGCCGTGCCGGTGCAGCGGCCGATGATCTTGTCAATGCATTTCTTGTGGATGGCGGCGTTGCATTCTTGAAGAGGCAGAGGCCCAGGGCAGGCAGGGGGATGGGAAGGCATGGAGGGGAGGAGGGCGTGGACAGTCTGTGAGCTGGCGCTGCTGGCCCACTGCAGCCCTCTCTACACAAAGCCACCGTTCTCCCTAAGTGCCCACACCCACACCCGACAGGCCTCCTGCCAGCCCTTACAGGAGAGGCCCAGCAAGGCTCGGGGAGGGGGTGTGTGTGGCAGTAAGGCAGGCCAAGCCACAGCTCTCAGTGTGCAGAGAGGGGCTGAGGGGGAGGCCCCCCATTCCATCTTCTATGTCCCAGGACAGCAAGCAGCTAACAAACCCACTCTCTCGAATGTGCACGCAACACACTCCCATACAAAACACCTGTCCATGCATACAGATTCCTTATACTGAACACTTACCATGCACCAGGCGCTTAAAACCCAGCTTTACATATTTTATCCCATTTGACCTTCACACCAACCCTTTCACCCTGAGCTTACGGACAGGGAAACCGAGGCACACAGAGACAGAGTGAGTTTGCCTGAGGCCTGTGCTGGGAAACGCCAGAGAGAGCTGGGATTCACATGCAGGCAGCCTGGCCCCAGAGCCTGGCTCAGCGCAGCAGCCCACAGGGCCGCTGTGTAGGGTGAGACACCCCCAGCTCCACACGGACCCACAGCAGCCAGGGGAGCTGATAAATATCTCATAACTGTTTTCCAGGGTGAAAGAGCCCTGCCAGGCGGCCGTGGCTGCTTTCCATGTGAACAGCCCTTTCCGGTCAGCGTCAGGGGCCCCGTGTGATGAACCTGAACGCAGATCTGGAGACTCAGAGAACTGGCTTTGGTGAGCCCCAGCAAGCCAGTGCCACACTCACTGTAGAGTGGTGAGTACACACACACACATACTGACAAGCGCACATACACAGAGGTCTGTGTGCACACACACTCACACTGACATGTGCACATGCACACGCACACACACTGATGTGCACACACCGACACACACACATGCGCACACAGTTGTGTGCAGACTTTGCACACACACTCACATAGACATGCATATACACACAAACACACAGGCATGTACACACATACACAAACCTGGGCACACACACTGTGATGTGTACACACTGACCTGTGCGCATGCGCACACGTACACACACTGACACGTGCTTAGACACACAGACCTTTGCACACACACAGAGCCCTTGCCCAGATGCATGGTCCCAACACCACCCGGGGATGAAGGCTTTCCTGTGACCGCACATGGTACCTGGGCAGCAGGGACACTTACGCCTGCATTTGTAGCCTTGCTTGTTGAGACCCCTGAAAGACAAGCCCCAGAGAGGGGGAGTGAGGGGGGTCGCTGGTGCCTCCCTACCCGCTGCCACCCCAGGGGGCACAGCCAGGCCTCACCACACGAACTCCTTGCACACAGAACAGAAGGTGGGCTGCCTAAAGAAGGTGGCAATGAACTCGTGGTTCTTGATGTAGTGGATTTTGGCCTGTTTGATGGCCCCACGGCGGTTGATCGTTGATAACATTCCTTCTTCCTCCGTACGCAAAGACTGCTTACAATCTGGGGGCCGCAGAGGGGTGAGGTCAGCCCCCATGTCCCAGAGAGGCAGTGGCCCCAGATGCACCCAGGAGGCTGCTTCCCTAAACCCCGATGCTGACTTTGGTCTCTGAGCCCGGCAGGTGAGCCGGGTTCAAGTCCCCAGCCCCAACCTCAAATGAGAAGGTCTCACCCCCGTCCTCCAGGAAATACTGCACAGACATCAGCACCTTGGCCTGGGGCTGCAGGTCCAGCTGTTGGAGGCAGGGGTGAAGGTCAGTGAGGGCGGGCCTGGGCCGAACCAGACTCAGAACCCGCCCCCATGGTTGGTCCCTGAGGCCAAGGGAGCCCCAGAACGCTGGCTGCACAGCTGTCTTGCCCAGTGTGGGCGGGGCCCCACCCCAGAGCCCCGCCCACACCCTGCACCCAGGGGTATTATTACCTTTGGGGAAGTGAAAGAGTCCAGCCCACACCCAGCCAGGCCACATGGTCCAGGAGCTGAGTGGGAAGGGAAACTCCCCACCCCCGCCCCTGCTGCCCCCTTGGCGAAGATTTGAGAACGGAGGCAGCCGACCCCACGTGCACAGGCAGGGAGACAGACACAGGCTCCCAACACACCCCGCTGCTTCTCATGTGCTGGGGCTCTTCTCAGACCAGACAGACAGTCTGGAGGGCAGGGCTGTGGCCGCCTGCGTTCCTGTCTCACTGCTGAAGGCCCCGAGCAGCCCTGTCAACCCCTCTCCTAGCCTGGCCCCGGGCCCCCTCACTGGAGGCTGACCAGAGCCTCTGGTGGTCACGAGGCCTTTTCCGGTGGAAACATCGTGGCTGTAAGAACCCACGTGTAACCACAGGGGGTTCTGCCAGTTGCTGGAGTCCTGTGGCCACCAGAGGCCCATCACAGCCGCATGGGCCATGTGGCCACACTCAGGTGCGCAGAGCCTGGGTTCTGGTGGGTAGGCGGGGCTGTCAGCTTTCCCCTCCCTCCACCTCCTTGCCCTTAAAGTTCACAGGGCTGGCCTAAGGCCTGCCTGGGCCTGGAATGTTTGCCAAAGTTCCAAAAAGAACCAAGACAATGGGTGCCTCTGGGAATGGGGCCAGTGACCTGGTACTGGGGCAGAGAGCCACCCTCTCCTGCACGTGAAACTGTCCTATTCTATGTGCATCACATTTTGCTTTTCAAAAGTAAAACAAAGCAAAGTGGTCTCAATCACCAATGAAGATAGCTTCCTTTAGCACCCACCACGGGTCAGCTTCTGCGACCAGCTTCTGACACCCAGTGGCGCACTTCATTGGAACGACCCTGAGGGTGGGGGGTGGGGGGCTCCTAGTAGCTCTGGTGGTGGGCACAGGGCCCAGTAGTGCCGAGCCTGAGCACGCACGCACATGCACACGCACACGTACACGCACACACACTCACCCAGAACTCGGCCTTGCCATTGTTCTTCTTGCAGCGCTCGGCCAGCACTGATACGCCCACGGTCACCTCAGACATGGGCTCCTCGGCCGCCCGCATCAGCACAATCTGGATGACCCGGCCCTCGTAGATGTGAGCGTCGAACGTCGACTTCCACTCTGGGTACATGGTCGGCTTCTTCTGCACCAGTGTCTTCCCACGCTCTGCCAAGGGGCAGTGGGCCGGGTCGGGCTGGAGCCCCTGCCTCTCTACCCTCACACCCACCCAGCATTCAGCTCTGGCCGAACCCGCTGCCTCCTCTGCCCTGAGGACTCCCTGCAGCCGCTCCTGTCGCACCTGGAGTGTGCCCCACTGCACTCCTGCTGTTCCCTCTTCCCGTGAGCCTCTCGTGCCTCTTCAATGTCCCCTTTCCCTATGTACTCAGCAACGCAGCCGAGAGTTCCCGCTCGCCTGCCGTAGCACTGGGAGTGTGGAATGCCGCAGAAGGAAAAGCTAAACCCAGGGCCTGTGGTCCCGGAGCCCTGGGGCAGACAAGAACCAACCCATCTCTCAAGTAACCACTAAGTCACAGCGGCTCCAGACCCACCCAGTCATGCCCGTGGCCTGCCCCAGCCTAATGGTCGGGAAAGACTTCCTGGAGGAAGGGACAGCTCAGTTGAGACCTCAGGGGTGAGCAGGGATTCTCCAAGTGGGGGCAGAAGCAAGAGGGAAGCGTGTGAGCTGTGTGCCTCGTGCAGGAGGCCCTCCCTGGCCCCAGGCTGGAACGGGGCCTACTCTGGGCTTTTCTGCCCATGGAGGTGCCCAGCTGCCCGGCCTGAGCGTGAGCCATGTGCAGGCAGGCCAGTCAGGCCCTCAGAGCCCAGCACAGGACCTGGCAGGGGTGCACACATGGAAGCTGCTGGGGAGAAGCACCAACGAAGGGAAACAACCAAGCCCCGAGCAGGGTCCCGTCTCACCAGGTGCTCCAGGCCCTGGACACCTGCTGGCCTCTGCCTCTCTGTCCCCGCGTCCACAGCTGGTGGGGACAGAAAGGATGAAGTGCAGAAGGACCCCTTGGGGCTCCTAGGGAATGAGGCAAGGCCTCCTCCAGGCCCCTTTGCAGGCCCCGCCCTACCTGTGCTGAGCGCCTCCTTCATCTTCACGGCACAGAAGGGCTGGTTCGTCTCGTCCTCCACCTGCAGGGAGCCCAGCTCGTAGGAATTGAAGGAGATGCGCAGGAAGGGAGCCATGGTGGGGCCTGCGGGGGGTGGGGGAGGGTACACACACACAGGGGTGAGGCTAGGCCGCGAGGACAACCTCACAAGACCTCAGAGACCCACAGCCCAGGACTCTCACACCCCAAGACGTGTAAAATGCACTGGTCCTCGTGGCTCAAACTGAAAATTAACAAGTTTTATCTAAATCCGATGCCCGTTAGGCCCTCTGGATGCAGGCAGCTGGCTCTGGGATGGCCGCCCCCTTGGCGGAGCTCCCCCGGATGGGAGCACCCTCTCCACTCCTCTCCAGAGCCTACCTGGGCGCTGGAGGCCCTGGAGTCTGTGACCCTGAGACACACTCACCTGGGGAGCCACTAGCGCCACTGCTGGGCACGGACAGGTACCCCTGCAGCTCTTGGTGGTTTCGTTTGCTTTACTCACAATTGCCCAGGCAGACAAGCAGGGCCCAGAGGAGCACGCCCGCTTTTCACAAGATGAAACTGAAACTCAGGCCAAGCCAGAGCCGACAGCTGGGAACCCACTGACTTCGCATCCACTTTGTGCAGGGACCAGGGAGGCAGAGCTGTGCCCTGACCCTTCTGAGTTTGAGCCCGCCTGCCTGGAAGGTTGCTCGCATTTTCAGGCTCACTTTCCTCTCATATAAAACCGTAGTTTAAAGTTGAATGTGGGGCTGGCGCTGTGGCGCAGCAGGTTAATGCCCTGGCCCGAAGTGCCAGCATCCCATATAGGGCGCCGGTTCTAGTCCCAGCTGCTCCTCTTCCCATCCAGATCTCTGCTATGGCCTGGGATAGCAGTAGAAGATGGCTCAAGTCCTTGGGCCCCTGCACCCGCGTGGGAGACCTGGAAGAAGCTCCTGGCTCCTAGCTTTGGATAGGCGCAGTTCTGGCTGTTGTGGCCAATTAGGGAGTGAACCATCTCTTTCTGTTTCTCTTTCTCTTTCTCTTTCTCTTTCTCTTTCTCTTTCTCTTTCTCTTTCTCTTTCTCTTTCTCTTTCTCTTTCTCTGCCTCTGCCTCTGCCTCTGCCTCTGCCTCTCCTCTCTATGTGTAACTCTGACTCTCAAGTAAAAAATAAATAAATATTTTTTTAAATTTTTTAATTAAAAAACCTTTTTTTTTGACAGGCAGAGTGGACAGTGAGAGAGAGAGACAGAGAGAAAGGTCTTCCTTTGTGCTGGTTCACCCTCCAATGGCTGCTGCGGCCAGCGCACCGCGCTGATCCGATGGCAGGAGCCAGGTACTTCTCCTGGTCTCCCATGGGGTGCAGGGCCCAAGCACCTGGGCCATCCTCCACTGCACTCCCTGGCCACAGCAGAGAGCTGGCCTGGAAGAGGGGCAACCGGGACAGAATCTGGCGCCCCGACCGGGACTAGAACCCGGTGTGCCGGCGCCGCAAGGCGGAGGATTAGCCTAGTGAGCCGCGGCGCCGGCCAAAAAATAAATAAATCTTTTAAAAAAAAGTTGAATGTAATGCCAAGAGCACTTTACATGGTCACACAGCTTGGTTCCCGCATTCCCCTGTTCCTCACCATCCCCCAAATCACTACAGGAGAGGACCAGAGAGACTTCTCAGCTTGCCGTTTGTGGAAGGCACTCAGGTGTGCAAGCCTGAACATCATGTACACTCACACTCTTGCATGGACACGGGCTCCCAGCCCAAGGTGCTCCTTAATGAAGGCTGTGTGAATGCACACACACACACACACACACACGGACTTACTCCATCCTGAACATGACCCAGCAGCTGGACGAAAGCAGACACGTACCCCTACCCTATCTGAGTACACACGAACAGTGGCCTGGCCCTGGCGATGGCTCCTTCCAGCTCCCTGACAGGCAGCAAGAGTGGCAGGCAGATCTGCTGGGAGCACCCAGCCCAGATGAGCTCACAGGAAACTCTGACCTCAGCCTGTAGCCCAGCCCAGCTCAGTGGACCTGGCCAGCCTTCTCCAGCCAGCAGCCAGAGAGCCAGGAGGAACCAGGGGGAGCAGCAGACCCCAGCACAGCCCCTGCCCAGGCTTGGCTCCTTAGGGCGGGTGTGAGAGACAAACACAAGCTCATGCCTGAGCCCAGGCCAGCTGCTCACAACCTCTTGGTCAGCAGAGAGCAGGAGCTGGTTGGGGGCTGCTGCGTGCTCCTTCGTGGGCTGACACACGGAACAGTGTGTGTTTATGTGCGTGGGGTAACAGGTGCATGTGAGCATGAGTGTGCAGCCGTGAGGTGTGTGTGCCCACGAGGCCTTAGGGGTGCATGGCCCACAGTGGGCATTCAGTAACAGCTGCAGCAAAAACCCAAGGTGCACTGGGCTGGTCTCTAGCCTGTGCATGGGCTAAGTGAGGCCCAAATCGGCAGGCAAGGAAGACATGGGGCCGCCCCTGCTGCCGCTCACCACAGGTCTGGGTCCCCCTGCCTGGGGCCTTGTGCTTTCCGGCAGGATAACCTAGAAACAGCTTGGGCACGAGTGCCAAGTGAGGGCAGGTAGGCAGAAATAAAGGAGGGGCAAGTACCCTGTGGGGATCAGGGCAGCCCAAGTGGCAAAAGGATGGCCAGCTGCTTAGGCACAAGACTCTGACACCAAGTCTGCCTCGGCCCTGGCCTCTCGGGGCTGTCACCCCCTCCTGCAGATGGAAAGCAGCCCCTCCTCTGCATCAGGCCGTCATGCTGATGACAGCTCCTGTGGGATGAGGGCCGGGAGGGGTCCCCTTGTCATCACCCCATCCTTCTCCCATGCACCTTCAGTGTCCATCCCAGCCACCCAATAGCCTGGGAAGAAGCCCTGGTTACTGACCCACTTCTCAGACAGGCAGACCCAACCTCCAGGAACACAAGCAACTCGGCCTGTGCTGCTCCTCACCACCTCCCACTGGCCCCTGACTGCCCGCAGGCTCTGTGGCTTCCGAGGAGACTGCCTCTGGGTGAGAGAAGCCTCAGCCGGGTGAGGCAGGACCCAGCCCCGCGGGCTGTCCCCCAGCTTTCCACGGTCACACTCAGAACAGCTGCTGCTCAGTCAGAAGCCACTGGAAGGAAACCACAACCACAACCACAGCAGGCCCGGGCCCCAGCCCTCAACCTACAGAGCCAGGCCGCAGTGCCATGAAGGCAGGGGATCCGTGGCCTTCGTGGGCTGCCACGGGCCACCCAGCAGTAACCCTGGGTCAGACTACCCTGTCCCGTGTCCTAGGACTAACACTGAGGGCAAGGGCCCTGGCCAGCTGCTCCTACCTCCTCTGCTCTCAACAGACCACTCCCAGGAGGAAGACAGCAGCTGCTTCCATCACTGTGTGACCCCAAGAGAGAGGTCATGGTCCTCTCCGGCCACAGCCCTCTCCCCCACCCCCTCCTGTGAACAACAGGGCCAGAGCCTTTCCCCCTACCTTGCAGAGGCTCAACGGCAGGGGCAAGACGAGGGGGTGAAGCAGCAGCACAAGAACAAGGTGCGCCCACTATTTATAGCCCCCATGCAAATAGGCCCAGGCCCACAGGCCCCAAAGTGGGGCCACTGGCTCAGCCTTAGACTCACAGCCATTCTGTTCTGCCAGGCCACAGGACTCACAGGGGCCAGACCCCACACAGCCTCCATGGGGACTGGCTCCTTGGAGGCACCTGAGGCCGGCCAGGCTCTTCCCAGTGCTTGCGGGCTCCTAGCTTCCATTCCCTGGCTTCCTTGCTCCCCGGGAGCACAAAGCACAAAGGGTGTAGGTGTGAACCTCAGTTCTGTCACACCTAGGAGGGACTGTCCTTTTCTGAGCTATCAGATTCACCTTGAAGTTGCACCCGCTCCCTGTACCTCTACGCAGGTCCCTAAACCGAGTGCCAGAGAAGCTAAGTGACTTGCCCAAGGTCAAGTGGCCAAGATGTGGTGGATCTAAACCCAGGCCTGCCTCTGACGTTGCCAGACAGATGGAGACAGATCTGTGTGCCAGGAGCAGGTCACACAGACACACACGTCAGGACAGAAAATGGATGTAAGGGCACTGGCAGCCAGGGACGCTGCTCCTGACCAGACTCTCTCCACCCACCCCCTCACCCTGGCGAGGCCCCAGCCTCACCTGGAGGACCCCACCCACCACCCCCCACTTTTTCAGAATGAGAATGGAACAGACCCCAGCTCCTGGTGCCCCAAACCTGGGGAGGGTGGGCTGTCCTGGATCCCAGGCCCCAGGAGGAGATACATGGGCCCTGCTCCCTACCCTGCCCTCAACCTGCAGCCCAGAAGCAGTGGCCAGGCCAGGCCACAGCGGGCAGGTCACCTCCTCTGGAACAAATGCAGGCCTGCCGCCGGCCAGTCCTTGGTCTTCCCAAGCTGACCACAGTGACTCCATGGTCACAGCCCCGAGGCACAGAGGCGGGCCCCCTACAGACAAACACGTGAGCCGCACATCACATGTGTGTTGGGGCTGGGTGGGAGACATGGCCTGAAGGGTACCACAGGGAACAGGAATGCATTTTCTTTCTTTGTTTCTTTCTTTTTAATAAAGACTGTGAGGGCTGGCATTGTGGCACAGCGGGTTAAGCTGCTGCTGGTGATGCTGGCATCCCACATGGGCGCCAGCAGTGTCCATGCTGCTACTTCAGATCTAGCTCCCTGCCAATGGTCTGGGAAGAACAGTGAAAGATGGCCCAAGTATATGGGCCCTGCTACCCACAGGGGAGACCCAGATGAAGCTCCTGGCTCCCAGTTCGGCTTGGCCCAGCCTTGGCTGTTGTGGCCATCTGGGGAATGAACCAGTAGATGGAAGATCTCTCTTTCCCTCTGTCTCTGTCTCTCTCTTTCTGTGTAACTCTGACTTTCAAATAAATAAACCTTAAAAAAAAAAAAGACAGGATATATGCATTTATTTATTTGCTTATTTATCTGAAAGGCAGACTAACAGAGAAAGAAAGATTGATCTTCCATCTGCTGCTGTTGTAGGCAGGCGTATAGGATAAAATCGATTACATTTGTGGGCTGAAAGACCATGCCTTCACCACGCTCCAGCCCCTACCTGATCACACCTGTGCGCCTACCTGCCAGTCAGACTAACTAACCACTCCCCTTTGGAAGTGGATTAAAGGCCTGGAGCACGGGTGGGCCTGGCCCTTCTCCCTCCCTGCTCTTGACCCCCTTGCTGCCCCGCCTTCGGCTGCTTTCCGGCCTGCATGCCCCTCCACCCGGCTGGCTTCGGGCCTACTCTCTGCTCAGTATGAATCCAGATTTCCCCTGTATTCTGAGATACGGCCCTCACTCTCCTATGCATTTCTCTCACTGAATAAAAAGCCTAAGAGCTTATCATGCTGCCTGGTTTATTTTTGCCAGTATTCAGAATATGTGGTAAGAACCCACACAGCTTATTAATTTTGGATTATTAACAAGCAAATCTGTAATCTTGCCACTCCCCTAAATGGCTGCAAAAGCCAGGGTTGGGCCAGGGGAAACCAGGAGCAAGGAACTCCAGGTCTCCCACACGGCTGGCAGGGTCCCAAGCACTTGGGCCATCTTCCTTTGCTTTCCCACATGCATTAGCAAGGAGGTGGACCTGTGTAGACCTGTGGGGGACTTGAACCAGAGCTCATACGGGATGCTGGTGTCACAAGAGGCAGTTTGACCCACTGTATCACAACATTAGCACCCGGTAATGTATTTTCTAATGTCCCTACACCATGTGTAACTTATTTAAAACAATTTTGTCAAAACTGAAAAAGAAAGTACAACACGCCCAAATGTCACCTATAGCTGGGCCTTCAGAGCCTGGTGCTCCCATCTCACAGTCCGTACCCTGCTTGGGGCGTGGCCCAGAGCAATGCATGAAGGCAGGTGACAGAGGCGCTGCTCAGCAGGCAGGGGGTGGGGGGTGCTCAGGAGGCAGCAGCAGGGCTGTGGCTGTGAGCTTGTGTCCCCATGGTCTGCCCAGAAGAGATCCAAGGGGGCCAGAGAGGGGCGTGTTTCACAACCCAGCAAAAGGGCTCAGTGAGCTCAGGAGATGGGGATGGGGCAGGGTACCAAGTCCCTTTCAACACCCCAACCCATGGCCCAGGCCCCAGCCACCAAGGACAAGGACTAGAAAACTCTGGTTTCAGGTCATGGCCAAGTCCGGAAGCACAGGATGCTCCCTCCACCTGCTCCTCCTCTGCAGGCTGGTACTCCAGCCAGGACTTCTCACCCCACACAGACCAACCACTGGCCAGGGACTCTCCTCCTACGACTTGCTGTTCCTCTCCACTCTCCTTCGCCAGCACCTCCTCCTCTCTGTCACTACCCCCAGTCCCTCCCCCAGCTGCAATTCTCCTAACTGCCACTGGCCTTGCAGAAAGCACCAGACTTCAGCCTGGCCCTGTCCTGCTCTGTCTGGTCGGTGCCTCACTCTCAAGCCCCTGTGTTTTGCAGACCTATTCTCTAACTCACAACATCCTCCTCAATTCCCAGTATCCTTCCTGGAGTTTAAAAGGCCAGCCCTGGGGGGATTCTTCCCAGGCCTCCAGGTGGGCCTGGGCAGGCAGTTGAGGCCCTGGGCTGGCTGGCTGGCGGCCCTCTCTGTTGGGGCTGCATATCTGACTCTCCAGGGGCCCGGCCCAGGTAGCACAAGCACAGGACTCCAGTGATGATTGGGATCCCCTTCCAGGAGAGCACACACGGCAATGGAAATGCGATGCTGCACACATCCCAGCTCCAGGTCTCTCCTGGCCCTCCCTGGGCCCAGCCAGTGAACACCACAGCGACGAGACACCCCAGGTCCACGGGACTCACAGCCTGCTGGGGGACAGCCCCTTGAACACGTAATCACCCCAGGGGCTGGGGTGGATGAGGGGCCTTCAGTCTGGGATCGGAAGGGATGTCAAAGCCCAAAGCCCAGGCCAGGCACAGGCCTTGAGTCAGCAGCCAGCCCTGAGGCTCAGCCAGAGGGTGGGCTCCAGGTCCTCGGAGGGAGGGACAAAGGCCCCTTCATGGCAACCCGTGCCTGTGAGCACAAGGGGGCCCCTGTGAGGAGCCGGGGCTGAGGGCACATGCAGGCCTCTCCAAGAATAATCACATACGTGTGCAGGCATGGGCATGCTGCAGCCCAGACACAGTAACACAGTAGGGGCCCCATCTGAAGGTGCACACGCACACACTCACACACAAAAGGGACACCCCCCCCAACTCACACACAAACACAACCCATTCACCAGCTCCACAGACACCCAAGCCCCACAGACTGTACCTGGCCACACAGGAGCCACGTGCACACGGGATACCACGCACTGGAATGCACACACGAGCACAGAGACGAACACAGCAGTCTGGAAGGATCTCCCACGCCTGCCTGCCTGGAGTCTGGCACAAAAAAGTCCAAATGCAGCTTTTTCTACTGCAGCCTCCAGGGTGGGGTGAGAGGAGGAGGGACAGGAGGGCAGCTGGGAGCCTCCCACCTCCACCCCCCCCATCCCCACAGGCACCTCCCCCCAACCCCTGGTACAGAGCAAAGTCCAAAGTGTGTAAAGAAAGGAGTGGGCCGGGTCAGGCACATCACTGCCTGCAACGCCCTAAGGAGAAGCCAGCAAAGGCGATAACCAGGCTGCAGGGCACGGGTCTGGAGCACAGGAGGGAAGGCTGGGACCTGCGCAGGTCAGGGCGGTCACGCTGGGCACTGCACACATGGCCTCCATGGGCTCCAGGCTCACTGTGCAGAGGCTACCAGAAAGGCAGCAAGCCAGCTAAAACCACACAGATGACGGGGTAGATCCAGAGTTGGGGGAAGAGAGCCTCCATGGGCTCGGGCTCAGGCTGGGCAGGGCAGGCACGCGCAGGTGGGAGCAGCTCCTCCAGCAGCCCCTCCTCCCCAAACGAGGGTCCCAAGCCCACCCCGTAGCCTTTCTCGCTTCCGCAGAGTCCCCGTGTGTGGACGTTTTGAATATTTGCGTCCCTAAACTCAGGAACCTGCTCCCCCAAGTCTTGTGTTAATGGCACTGAGGCAGCAGCAGTCTTCTGGGGTGGGAAGCGACCGGATTGGGTTAGGCTGGGAGGGTGGAGCAGCCGTGGTTGAATCCCAGTGGCTTTATAAGAAACCACAGAGACACAGAGAAGCGCGCGACCTGTCTAGACGCTGCAGCACCTCGGACTGCACCCGCAGGAGGGCCCGGTGAGCCATTAGGTCCCACACCTCCAGAACTGGAAGCCCAAAGAAACCTCCTTTCAGGTAGGCTGCCGTGGCACTCAGTTACAGCAACAAGAAGCTGCCTCACTGTTAACAACAGAAACGTCTGTTTTGTGTTTGGGAGAAGGCAAGGTGGCCACCTTAAGCATTTTGCCTCCCCAGTTCAGGGACCTCAGGAGTGCTGGGAGACAGGTAGCCCATCCTGTGTGGTGCGCCCTCCCATGGCGGCTCACACAGAGAGGGACTAGGGCAGCTCAGGCTTGAGTGCCTGCACAGGTCTCATTCCTGTCTGGCGTCCTGCATGCCTGCAAACTTGGCCAAGCCACGCAGGTGTACTGAGCCCAAGGCCTGGCCTGGAGGCGGTGACAACACACAGTAGCCATCCCCATCAGCCTTGTCCCTGAGGTCACTCTCGCACACCTGGCGCATCTCCAGCTGTCCCTGGGCAACCGCAGAGGCCTCCACACCTCCTAGCTTCGTGGGAAAGGAGGCTGTGCAGAGCGGGGCCGGAGACTGTCCATCTCTGGGCCTCAGCCCCCAGTCTTGACCACAGAGACCTCTACGCCTTCCCAGGCCTGCTGCTGCAGAGCCCGCGATATCCCTCCAGCTCCCCTAGCTGGGCCCCACAGCCCACACCACACGGACACCTGATCCGGCTGCTCCGCTGTGCCTGTTTACCCAACACGGCCACAGACATGATCCAAAGCTTCCGGGGCTGCTGTGATAACAGCGGCTCAGCCACCACAAGCCTGCCCTCCTGGTGCCCGGGCAGGTGCCTCCGAGGGACAGCCACCCTGGCCCTTTACCTGGGGTCACTCACGTTCCCCAGGGAGGGCCTCTGAGCCGTCTCCACCCACCCTAGGCTTGGCTCACAGGTCTCCCCCTTCAGCCCAGGCTCGTGGCCCCACCTGCCTCCCTGATGTCACCAACTGAAGGGCTGCAGGAGCCTCTGAGCTGCTGCCCACACCAGCCTGCTGAGGCTTCCGAGCGCTCCTCACCTCGCAGGACTGCCGCGCCCACCCTGCTGTCACTCCACGCACCGGGGCATCCTGTCCTCGCCTGCCCGCCCCCGTGGCCCTGCTGTCACATCTGCCTCCTTGGGTCCTCTCTGCTCTACCTCTGCCCAGCCTGCTTCTGCTGCAGCCACCAGAAGGGGCTCTGGAGATGGTAAATCAGCACCGGGCACCCCCTGCTAAGCCCCCAGTGCGTCCCCTGGCTCCTCTGGAAAGCCCAGACTCCCGCCCGGCCAGCCTAGCCAGCCTTGCCCTGCCTCCCTGCCCTCAGCAGCTGTCTTCCCCTCACTCCTGCCCCGGCCACGACCAGCCTTTTCAGTTCCCTGAGCAGCCAAGTTCCTTCCTGCTTCCGAGCCGTGGCACTTGCTGTTCCGTCTTCCTGCCCCCACACGGTGGCTCCTTCCCATCAGTCAGGGCTCACGTGGACACCCCCTGATCCGACCATTTCACAGATGAGGCAACCGAGGTTCAGAGTGGTCCCGTCCTGGGCTCGAGGGTACACAGCCAGCAGATACCAAGCAAGGAGTCAAAGTCTGTCTGAAGCCTGCCTGTGCAAACCCTGCTCCCAAATCTTCAGGATTCATGCTCGGAGCCTCCTGAGCCCCAAACAGCAAAGTCCAAAGCTCAGCCCAACCCTCCCAGGGCTGACATTGTGAGTCCCTGGCACTGGCAGGCCTGGCCACCAGCTGCTGCATGTCAAGGAAGTACGGGGGGAAGGGGAGAGGGGGGTGGGTTTCTACTCCCCTGCTCGCCCAGCTCCCATCAGCCCTGGATGCCCGCCCCCTTCCCCAGCCCAAAGACTGACTCCAGGGGTCCCAGGGTAGGCAGGCTGGCAGGAAGGCTTCCCATCCACCCCCTCATGCCCCAGCCAATCCTCCAAGCCCAAGGTCCTGCAGGGGGCCAGCGCAGGGGAGGGGCCGGGAGGAGCCTGCCTTTTCATTTCCCACACCCATTTGTCCCAACATCTATTTTTCTCCCTTTGAAAGGGAGTGAGGAGGAGACGAGCAGGAGCAAGCTGGGCTGCTGAGTGGGCACAGCTGCTCCAGGCTGGCACTTCTTCCTCGGAGGACATGGGACCTATTGAACCAACGGAGCCTGGCCCAGTCCCTGGCACTGCCCAGAGAGGATGAGGGTACAGGGACCTGGCTTCCCAGCCAGGCTCTGCAGCCACCTGGCCCCGTGGCGCTGGGCCTGTGCCAGCCCACCAGACAATAACACACCCCCCCGGCTAGTACCACTCACTGTTGCCATGAACAGTTCCCCTCAGCCCACCCGGACACCATGCCAACCAGCCTCTTGGCACACACTAGCTGTTGCTTCTGGCACCCCCTCACCAAGGCAGATGCTTATCACGACCTCTTTAGTCAGGTGGGAAAACCGGGGCACTGGGCATCAAAGCCGCCGTCCCAGCTCATTCCTACAGCTGCCTGGAGTTGCTCAAGCCCCGAGAGGCGGCGCAGCCACCACCACTCCCAAGGGGGCTGTGCCTGCCCCAGCTCACAGCATGGGACGAGCCCGGGTCGTGGGGTCCACGGCGCTCTCTGGCCTACCCCTCTCCTGCAGCACCCAGCGAAGTCTGGTCAGTCGGCCAAAGCCACTGGCCAGATGCTGCTGCCCTCCGCAGACAAGGCAGGGGCGGGGCAGGCTGGGCTGGAGGGCTGGTCAGCCCCACTCAGAAACCACTTCCTGGGCAGCGCGGAGGAAGTGAGCGTCCGGAAACACCCGGGACAGATGCCTGTCCCTGGGGCCCAGGCCTTGGCAAGTAGACAGATGGTCCCAGCACAAGAGGATCCCGCCTGCCTCCCAGCACCTCCCACCCCCCGAGCCCCGCAACTGCTCTCTCCAGCCAGGGCTGCTGCCAGGCACAGAGCTGCCAGAGGACCCCTAGCAGCCTGTGAGCGCCTTGGCCTGTGAACCTAGAGCCCACTTCCTCCTCTGTGGCAGCAGCCATAATACACTGCCCGTGCAGGCACAGCTGGCATGGTCCCTCCCCCATACCCGTACCCCTCCCCCCAATCTCCTCTGCCAAGTCCTGGTCAGCCGGGGGCCTGCCCCAGGTGGACAGGCCAGCTGTTACAAGCCTCGCAGTGTGGGCCAGCCCCCCTGAGGCCCCCGTGATCACGACTGTACCAGGAATCTCACTTTCGGGTCCTGATCCCGAGTGGCCCAGTGCAGTGCGTGGGCAGGCCCCTGAGTGCACGTGATCGTGCCTGTGGCTGGGTGCCCACATGTGAACACCTGTGTGCTGCCCCCGTGCAGTGTGTGCGCAGACACCTGGAGTCTGGGGGCGTGCAGCCCAGTGAAGCCTGCTTCCTCTGTCCCTGTGTGAGCACATGTACATCTAGGCAGGCTAGGTGCTGCGGGGCCAAGGCTAACTGAACTCCTTTCGGGACAAGGCTGAGTGATGCAGGGGAGCTGGCCCCACCCCCACCCTCAACAGTCAGGCAGGCATGAAGGTAAGGCAAGTAAACAGAAGACCCAGCAAAGCCCCGGGCCACATTCTGCCCTGGTTCCCACCCCAGGATATAGGGCCCTGATCCCCTCACCATCCCTAAAGTCAGGCCCAGCGAGCCCAGCCCCCAAAGGTCTATTCACAAGACGAACAGGTGCCTGGCAGCCAGCAGGGGTGGGAGTGGGGGGACACCTGGAGGAAAGACTGTCCTGGCCATCCCCACTGCAGGCACTCTCCAGGTTCCAGGAGCCCTCAGCCCTGGGGACCTGGACACCTGTACAGGAACTCAGTATTGCTTGCATTGCAACAGGGGCTAACAAGGCCAGGATGGCTTTCCAGCTTCCAGCTTCAGCTTCCTGAGAGCCCTGGAGGCTGGGGACATGGAGGGGGGGAGAAATCTATGGAAGACAGCTCGGCTGTGCCATTCCCACTCAGTGTCCAGCCACTGTGGGAGCACAGCATGAGCCTTGGCTTCCTCCTGCGATGATGAGCAGGGTGTGAGGCCATGGAGAACTGACCCATTACCTGTCCCTGGGCTCACACACCGCTTCTCTTAACTGGCCAAAAACCTGCTGCCATTCCTTTCCCCAGAGTACTAGGGGCCCAGACTTCTGAGCTCTGGACCCAAAGGTTTCCCCTGGCCAGAGCAGCGATCCCCTCCCAGGCAGGGCAAACAGGGCCTCCTCTTGGCACCGGATCAAGCACTCTGCACATGTGTCCCATGCCCCCACCTAGTCCCCCACAGTGGAAGGGAGGAGCCCAAAAAGGAGCCACCCCCACACGCTGCCCATCAGTGGGGGGGAACGCAGTCCTACCTGGCGCTCCCAGCTCCCAAATGTCTTAGTTCTGGTTCCCGCTGCCACACACGAACCACCAGGGGAAGCAGACTGGCAGCCCTCCCTGGGCCAGTAGAGGCAGACCTGCAGGATAGGAGAAAACAGCTGACAAGAGGCACTGTCAACTAGGCTCTCCCCATCAGCCAGCCCCAGCATGGCCGACACAGGCCCATCCTGGCTCTCAGGCCGCAGGTCTTTCTGGACTCGGTTTTCTCTTCTATGAAATGGGATGCTAGGCCCAACCTTCTCTGGGTACCAGCTAGTTACACGCCCACTCCAGGTTAGGGCTGGAACACTGTGTCCCTGCCCTAGGCTGGTGAGGAGGCCAGGAGACACAGCCGAAGCTGTTCCTAGCCCTCCTGACTGCGGGAGGCGGCCCTGCAGGTTTTGGAGTCCTTGGTTGCAATCGGGCACCACCACTCTGTGGTCAGGGACAATTCCTCTGAGCCTGTGTTTGAAATGGAGAAACTATTAGCACCCCTGTAATGACGATCTGAGGCTCTAATGACGTGGCATGCCCGCTCCCGTGCTGGACTCACAAAGTGCCAAAGCGGGGCTGGGCATCTGGCACAGTGATTAAGTCACCACTGGCAACGCCGGCAACCCGTATCAGAGTGCATGGTTCGAGTCCTCACTCCTCTGCTTCCAATCCAGCTTCTTACAAATGTGCAGCCTGGGAGGCAGCAGGTAAGGGCCCAAGTCCTTGGGTCCCTGCCACCTGTGTGGGAAACCCAGAGTGGTTCTGGGCTCCTATTGTAGTGTGGTCCACTCTGGCTCAGCCCTGGCTATTTGAGATGCAAGGCAGTGGATGGAAGAACTCTCTCTGTTTCTCTCTCTCTCTCCCTTTAAAATAAAAATAAAAATTTTAAGGGGCCAGCACTGCGGTACAGCAGGTTAAAGCTCCAGCCTGCAGTGCTGGCATCCCATATGGGTGCCAGTTTGGGTCCCAGCCGCTCCACTGCCGATCCAGCTCATTACTTACGGCCCGGGAAAGCATCGGAGGATGGCCCAAGTGTTTGGGCCCCTGCATCCACGTAGGAGACCTAGAATAAGCTCCTGACTCCTAGCTTTAGATCGGCCAAGCTCCGGCTGTTGTGGCCATTTGGGGGAGTGAACCAGCAGATAGAAGACCTTTCTCTCTCTGTCTCTCCCTCTCTCTGTAACTCTTTCAAATAAATAAAACAAATCTTTAAAAAAAAAATTTGATAAACGTAGCTCTGGCCATATGTTTAAAAATGAACAGTAACTCTTTATTACTTATTTAGTACCTTACAACCAAAGTAATATGGGAACTGGGTGGTTCTCACTTTACTATCTTGCTCATTATAAAGCTGAAAAAACTGAGCCTGGAGCTACTATCCTAGAAGGAAGGAATGGCGAAGACAGAAAAGCGCCCTGTGTCTCCTGGCTGAAAGGCTGAGCACATCTTCTGCAGGCCAGACCTCCACAAAGACCCCCCACCCCAGAGGGCAGCCCCCACCCTGCTGGAGGCCTCAGCACTACCCCTGGGGGGGCAGAGGTACCGTAGGGCATTATCTTTTTGTCTGTGCTTTAAATTATTTCTAATTTTAATTTAAACTCTAATTAGCCGTGCCAGCTAAACGATGTCAGCACCCTGCACACAGCCAAACCATCTCCCAGCACCCTCCCCCCATCACTGCTGGGGCAGGGGCTGGTGAGGCAGGGGCCATCCTGTAGGCAGAACAGAACCCCATACTCCCTTGGCAGGCAGCTCCCTCCCCAGGGATGGGCAGGAAATTAGGTCGGGGACTATCTGGGCTTTCATTAGCCCCAGCTCCCGGACCAATGGGGACCACAGGGCTGGGGCGGTCACCAGGTGAGATTTAGCAAGTGCTACACCCCCACTGTGGGGTGCGCCCTGGGACCTGTAGCTGTCCCAGCTCTCTGCGTGCTGCAGAGACGGACACTAAGCTGGGGAGAGGCCTGGCTTGGGTCTCCGGCTCTGAATGAGTACAGCAAGGGCTCAGCCGCGTCCTTCTGAGGCTTGGGGACTGTACTACAAACCCCGAGACTTGCCTGGGGCCTTCTATACCGACCCAGGAGCCAGGGCTGCTCCCATGTGCAGCCTGTACACACACACACACACACACACACACACACACTCAAGGCCACCCCCAGGCTCACACGCTGAGGCTCTCACCTTGCCTCCTCGCACTGTCACCACACACCTTGTCACACCCCCTCCTGTCGCTGGTACCCACGCCCAGCCACTCTCAGTCCCCCCGAGTCGGTCACTCCCCAAGCACACGTGTGCAGCTTCCTGCAGACTCTGAGTGTCCCCCCAGTCATCAGCTCCCATACCACCCCACGCAGCCCTGTCACACGTATGCCTCACATCACCACGCTGCCAGGAACGGCGGCCCAGCCACCTCCACATCACACACACAGGCACAGCCGCCCTCTGCCGGCCTGTCCTCCACACCCCAGCTCTGTCCACAGCAGGAAGGAGGAAACCCAAGGGACCAGTCCCCTCCCTTGGTGACCAGGTCAGCCTGGGCACGGCAGCTCTGTGGCAGAGGGAGAGGAAGAGCCACACGTGAGTGCACACACACACGCACACTCTCACACAGGAGCGGGGCAGGCCGGCACCCCAACACCAGGCTCTCCCACAACTAGCACATCTAACACTCTCTCATGGCCAGGGGGTCCCCATGACACATGGGGTGTTGCAACACACGACTGCCAGACACACACTGACCCCAACACAAGACACACACTGTGACAAAGACAGCGTGGACCTCCCAAGGAGGCAGAGATTCACCACACACGCCCACACCCTGATGCAGGCAACAGCGAGCGAGCGCAGAGACAAGGGTTCAGGCCTAGGGGTAACTATGGGAGGGCAGAGAAGTGACCGGGTTAAGTGGGATGCTCAGTGGGGCTCTCCCCTCCCCAGAGATGGAGCCCAGAGGTGGGGGCAGTCCTCACCTCCTTCATCCACCTCCTCCCCTCAGCGGGCTGGGGCCCCCCAAGGGGAGTGGCGTCTGGGTTGGGGGGCGGGGACCGACCTCACCAGGCCCGGGCCACCAGAAGAGGGGGCTCAAAGGGGCGAAGGGTCTGGACGGGCAGGGGGCCCGGGGGTGAAAGGAGGGGGAGGGGTCGCCCCACCCGAAGCCTGCAGGAGACAGACACTGCGGCGATCACTCGCGCCGGCGCCAGGAGGCGGCGCCGCGGGTCGCGCCGGCCCCGGGACCCAGCAGCGGGAGGGGAAGCCCGGCGGGTGGCCCGGCTTCGGCCCCCGGGCGGGCAAGATCGAGGGGGCGGCCTGGAGGGCCGGGGGACGGACCGACGCCCGGAGGAGCCGGGCACACCCGCGGGTGGAGGCCGGGAGCCGTCCGCGGCGGGACCTTCGCCGGCCACAGCTCAGTTTCTCAGCTTCAGAAACGGGAACCGGAGCGCGGAGGAGAGGGAGGGGCGGCGCGTCCCGGAGCAGCCCGGATCCCTCGCCCGGCCGGGCTCTCACTCACCTCTTGAGGGGCGCTGGCGCCAGGGGTCTTGGCGCCGGGCTCTGGCTCCCGGGCGCGCCTGGACGGAGTCGGAGCGGGCTCGGCGCGGGACGGCCCGGGTCTCGGCGCGGACCGAGGGACGCCGAGGGTCGCTCCGGGAGCCGGCGCTCTGCCGCCACCTCCCGTATCCGCGCCGAGGCACACGGAAGTGCGAGGGGCGGGGCGGGGCGACCTCACCCAGGTGCCGGCCTGGCCCCGCCCCCCGAAGTCCACGCCCCGAGAGGCCCCGCCCCGTGCGAGGCCCCGCCACGGGAGCCCGCGGGGCGCGGGTCGCTTGGAGTCCTGCCCTCGCCGTCCTCTGGGGCCCGCCGCGGCCCGAGTTTCGCCGCCAGCACGCACGTCGGCCCCCCGACTGAGGAGGACACGGAGGTCCGTGGTGGTCATACCACGCCCCGGCCGGGAGGCGCCCGCGGGGGTTCCCCGGGTCCGCACGCCCACGCCCGGGACTCCCCACCGATCAGCTGGCCCGCCTTGTCTGGCCTCGCTCCTTCCCTTGCTGCTGGCTACAGCGCGGACACGGCCGGGATCAGAGCCCGCCGCCAGGCCTGCCGGCCCAGCACTGTCCTGCCCTGCCCTAAAGACCGAGCTGGGAGGACTCCAGGACAAGGCTGTGCCGCTGCCCTTTCTGCTTGTCGGATATCTGAGGAGCTGCCCCTGCCCCGACTCCCCGCCTCCCGCTTTGCTGCCCCCACCCTCCGGAGCTGCCCATTGGCCTTGGCAGGCCTCTGAGCGTCCTTCTCACACGTGGAACTCGGATGTCAGCTGTAACTCACCCGTTCCTTCATTCATTCACCAAGTGTCCCCTGGCCCCAAAGCCTGGGGGCCAGCTGGGGTCCAAGAAGTCCATTCTCCTGAAATGTCGCTTCCCAGCGGCAAGAAGGAGAGTTCCAGGTTCCTGGGCTCTGGGCGGGCACCACCATCACCTTGAGGGAATGGCCAGAGTCCCGACAGCCCGTGCGGCTGAGGCCTGAGGGATGGACGAGCGGGACAAGTCCTTGAAGAGGCCTGAGCTGAGCAAGGGGCCTGTGGCAGAGGCAGGCTGGGCCAGGGCTTTGAGCTTCTTAAGGTGCAGTGGGAGAGTGGTGAGTGACAAGCTCAAGTGTGCTCCTGAAGGGATGAGCGGGGGCAGAGAGGGGGAGATGGGATGGCAGTGGAGGGGCTGGCTCCTTGTTCAGGGGGGAGGAACCTGGGTTGAGGTTGTGGAGGAGGGACAGGGAGAAGAGGCCAGACCAGGTGGGTTGCAGGGTTGTCAGGAGCGGGTTGTCCACTGAGACTTCCAGGGATGGATAGCACTGGCAGAGACATGGAACTCAATCCCATTTCAAGTGCAAAGAGGGGGGGTCTGGGCTGGAGAGAGAAAGAGCACAGTGACCCCTCCGGCCAGAGAGAGAGGGTGGGGGAGGCTCTGCTAGCCAGTTTGCAAACCAGTCAGTGTCTGGGTTCCCAGCCCTGAGGACTGCCCCCCAGCCCCTATGGAGGTTGGCTCTCTCCACCAAGCTGGACCCTCTAGCCACACTGTACTCCACTCAGGTCACTGCCTTGGAAAATGCTCTTCGCATTTCACATCCACGCCACATCTCTACCTGTGTTGGCTGGGTCCCCAACATCCAGTTATAATCTGTGGCCCTCCCCCAAGCGGAGGGCCCGTATTCACCAGCATGTCCTGCGTCCTGGTCGTGTCCCACCCACCTGCCATGCCGCCTGACTTCCCTGCGGTCGGGCTGAAGAAAAGGGTGCCCAAGGTGAGCTTCAGGTAACGTGCCCACCTGGGATCAGGTTTCCTTTCTGGCTTTTCTTCCAGGTCCACAGTAACCAACTGAGCCGCTCCCTCAACATCAACAATAGGCCTGCCTGTGCCAGGCACTGCGGGGGAGGACTGACCCTTGGGGAGCTCCAGGCCTGGCCGCCAGACCTGTGTGCCCACACCCTGCGGCTTACCATGGAAAAGGGAAATGAAAAATAATGGCTGTCCTTGATGGGGCGGGCTCTGTGCTGGGTGCTGGGGCCTACAGTCTGAGCAGGCCTCCACACCCCAATGGATGGGGGGCAGCCGTGGGGCCCATGCGGGTGATGAGCAAAAAAGAGACTTGGAGAAAGGTGGAGCCACTTGCCTCAGAGTACACGGCTAACAAATGCCAGAGGCCAACTTCCGAACAAAGTCTGCCCGGCTCCAGAGTCCATGTTTCTGCAGGACTTCTTGGTTCTGGCGCTATCGACCCCGGGCCAGGTCATTCCCTGTTGTCGGCACTGTCCTGGGCACTGAAGGAAGCATCCCCGGCCTCTGCCTACCCGATGCCAGTGGCGCCCTTTTTAACTTGTCATAGACAATGAGATCTCCACACACCACCAAATGTCCCACAGGGGACAGAATTCCCCCCGTTGAGAACCACTCCTGGGGTTGTGAATAAGAATGTAGGTTAGACAACAGGAAGCATTTTCCTGGCCTTAAGGCTCAGACTCAGGAGCTCAGGGGCCAGATGTATGCAATGGTGTCATCCAATCTTTATCTGCTGGGCACTCCACGGGGAAGCACTGTGTACTCAGAGAGGCAGGAGGGTCAAGGCTGTGCTGACCATGCTGTAGCAAAGGCAGGGGACAGATACCCGTGTGCTTCCCTCCGAGAGAGGCCCTAGGGAGAATAGATGTGTGGGGTCCAGAGCAACCAGGCCAAGCTTAGCTGGAGCCCCCCACCCTCACCCTGCTTCCCCAGGCTGCTGGGTGGGCCAGGGCAAGGGCCACATGAACTGGCCTTTGTGTCCCCATAACCGATTGGTGCCAACTTAAGAAGGACCTACTGAGGCCTGGGGGCCAGCCTCAGCTGTGTCACATGCTACCCCTATGACCCTGGGCAGGGGACCACACCTCTCAGCCTCTGAGTCCTCACCCATAGAAAGGACTGATGACAGACTTACATTGAGGACTGAGATGTGATGCACAGGGCCCCAGCTGGGGCGGTCACCTGGACAGGACTTGGACCACACCGGCCAGGATTCCAGGCATGGTCCTCCTGCCAGGGCACAGAGATTTTAGCCTTGAAAGCCCTTGATGACCTCTCGTAACATGGCCTAAAATCCCCGAGCAGGGCTGGGCTCAGAGCCGCCTCCCAGCAGTGATACTTTCTTTTTCTCTTCTGTCAGCTCTGCAGCCAAGGAATTGGGCTAGGAGTGTCCTGGGCAGCATGGAGCCAGGCGGTTCCTGGGTGGGCTCCCTGGCATTTGTCCAGTGGAGAGCAAGTGTAGCCTCTGCCACTCCCAGTACCAGCCAAAGGTCGTCACCCCTGGCGGGCCCTCAGACCCCACCATGGGAGGTCCAGGACTCAGCCACACAACCTGAAAAAAGGCCTGGACCACCCTCTGTCCCCAAGGCCCACCCGGCCGAAGGCAGCATGGGGTCCTCCGCTTGATCCCTGCCAAGAAGTTGGTCTTTGCCTTGGCGTCTCTGCCTCTTGCCCCGATCTGTCCCTGCCTCTCTGTGTTGTCATCTTGTCCCTGAAGCTTTGGCTGCCAGGGCCATCTGTGTCACAACCAGAACACTGGCCTGGCCAAGGCCGGGTGGGCTCAAGTTTCCGGCGCAGGTGACACAGGCCGGCATGGGTGGTGTACCTGGACGGCTACTGGGGACAGCAGAGCCCCAGGGGGTCCTGTTGCGGGTGGTGTGACGGGAAGGGCACTCAGGACATGCCCAGGCCCAGGCCACCAAGACTGTCATCTACAGGGGTTTCAGCCTCGGACATGACAAGCAAGGGCAGGCTCAGAGGGCTGAGGTCCACATGGCAGGGAGGTGCCAGGCCAGGCTCTGCCTCCCCTTCCTCAGCTGGAATGGCTATGACCACAGTGGGCACCTGGTGAGTGCACTGGGAGGAAGAGGCCAAGCTACCGAGGCGCCAGAGCCAGGTTCAAGCAATGCAGTTGTTACCAGGCCACGGAGAGGGCTGGGCAGGTCCTCCCCCGGTTCCTGCCTCAACAAAGCTGTGTTTGAGACTGGAGCCAGACTCAGGGGGGCAGACAAGGGGTAGGGGAGCCCGGGAGCTCAGGGCCAGGCTTCCCTGGGCTCTAACAGAGGTGTGCCACCCTGGACTGCCCCAGCCTCACACGACCCACCCTCCGCAGCACAGCCCCTGCTAGCCTGGGCCTGCCTTCTAGGATCTTCTGCCCCTGGCCCCCCAAGTACTGGTGGAGGCTCTGCTGGTCCAACTGCCCTCATCCCCCACGCAGCTCTGTTCTGCACGCGCCCCCCTACACACACACACACACACTAAGGGGAACACGGGCACCCACGACGGGGTGCGCCTCCTTGCCCGCAGGTGTCTCAGTTTCCCTCCACAGAGGACGGCTCAGCGAATCCAGTTTGGCCGAGGATCGATGGGGGTGGCTTGGAACTGAAGGGCAGCCCCTCGGGGTGGAGTGCAGTACGCACACGCCCATCCCCTCCCGGTCGGCCGCGCCCCCGCGGGCCTGAAGGCGGAGCGCTGGGACCCGCCGTCCCCGAGGCCCCGCCCCCAGCAGCCGTCGCTAGCCGGGAGGGAGGAGGCGCCCGCCCAGGCCCGTGACGCGGACGCGGCTATAAAAGCCCCGGCTCTATTCCCGGGACCTGCAGCAGCCTGGCGGTCAGACAGGACCCCGGCGCCAACGTCATCTCCTCGCTGTAGGTCGGCCCTGGAAAGTCAGCGGGACCTGGGGCACGGATAGCGCCACCGAGGGGTTGGGTGGTGAGGGTCGTGTCCCTAGCTGGTGAGGAATAGGGTGCTGGGTGGAAGTGAAAGGTGAGGTGGGCGGGTCACAGAAACATGGGAAGTGGACCCCTCCGCCCGTGTCTGGCCGGATGAAAAGTAGTCCATGTCCATTAAAGCAAATGAGGCCGCTAGGAGTCAGTGCAGGAGTCGTCGCACCACCTCCTACAGACTTGGCCCCCACACTGTCAGTGCGTGTTAGAAATTGTTCTACTGAGGCGCAATCAGGGCGGGCTTTCTGAAGGAGGCGGCTGTGAGGCCCTCAGAGACAAGGCAGAGCAGCCTGGGGCTCAGCACCGTGTAATCCTTGCCTTGGAACCAGCACTGTGGGGCAGGGGGATCCTGGGCCCCTGACCCAGACTTCACCCAAGGTTTGCCAACAAGTCTTGGCAGAGCCGTGAGCTGGGGGCAGTGGGCAACGGCAGGGAAGT